TGGGGGAGCAGGAGCAGGAGAGCACCATCGAACTTCTTGGATTGAGTTGAGAGGACTGCGAATCCTTCCTTCTGCTCAGCAATACATCAGAACGGAAAACGAAGAGTTGAAGGAGGGGGGTGAGGAGGAGAAGAGAACCAAGGGAAGAAGCAGGAGGAAGAGGATGAGAATGAAGAAATGGGAAAGAATGGGGGAGGGGTTGGAGATGATGATGGTGGAGATTATGATAACGAGAAGGAGGAGGAGGAGGAGACGAGGAGGAGACGAGGAGGGGAGGGGAGGAGGAGAAGGAGGAGAAGGAGGAGGAGGAGGAGGAGGAGGAGGAGGAGAAGGAGAAGGAGAAGGAGGAGGAGGAGGAGGAGGAGGAGACGAGGAGGAGGAGGAGGGGAAGAGGAGGAAGAGATTGCCTGCTCCATGATCGTTCTGATCTCCTCAGCCCATGTCGGCCTCGGGCAAGATTCCTGGCAAATCACATCGAATCAAACCAAACCAACGGTCCTTGTGGGATGTGAGATCGAGATAATGGGTAGAAACTAGCTGACTAGCCGACTAGCTGTCCTTCTTTGTTGATTTCTTTGTTGATGATATCTTCCCCCTCAACACATGGCCGACGTTGCTGTTTGTTCTGACAGGAATTTGTTCTCGATACTCTCATGCCTCTCTTGTTCCTCCTCTTCATCCTCCACCTCCGTTGTCCTTGACATGTACGACCAGCTCTCAGCTCTCAGACCTGATGAGTGCGAATAGCTTCACGCTTCCTTGCTGTTTCCGGATCCACGTTCTCAACCACAGTACCCTGAAAGAAACATCATAATTATCTCCATCATCATCATCATCATCATCATCATCATCATCATCATCATCATCATCATCATGACCATCATCATCATCATAACAATAACCATAATCATCATCATCATCATCGTGATTAACTACATCTACATCGACATCTACATCATCACATTATTCTTATCATTGTCATCGAAAACAAATCATATCATCATATTCGAACAACCTTCACTGAGTGTCCTGGACGGCCTTGGGGGTTCTTTTCTTTGTCATTCTCTTCAAACTGTAAATTCGCGGCTCAATCGCTTTCACTCAGAATTTTCCATCACCAACCTTTGCTCCTGTAACAGAGTCCGAAGCAGACTGAGTTGGCACATTAAGTCAGAGGTGTGCGAGCAGAACCGCAACATGTACATCAATCAATCAATCAATCAATCATCATCACATCAATCTCCATCATCATCATCTCCATCATCAACAACACGGCATCATCAACAACACGGCATCATCAACAACACGGCATCATCATCATCATCATCATCATCATCATCATCATCATCATCATCATCATCATCATCATCATCATAGCAGCAGCAGCATTACTGGCACATCATGCAGCCATCAACACGCCAAGGGATTGAGACGCACCTGCTTGCGCAAGATCAAACTCCTGCCATCAACAAACAGACGTCAGGGACCACGACGTTCTCCTCAACTCATCAACCTGGGAAACGAGCCTCGAAGAACGCTCGCAGACGTCAGAGAAGTCCCTGCTCTCTCTCACAAATCGTTCAAGGCACAACCAGTCCCCACCTCTTGACTGTGGCAGAAGGAATCTGTTCACCGCAGCACCTGATACATCAATACCCTGGTCACCACACAAGCTTCGCCTGAGCGCTGAAACAAGTTGATGTCTCACCCGAGAATGCACGGCTGGTGGGCGTGACGGTAAGGAGGAGGAGGCAAGACAACGCAGGTGCGCGTCCAGGAGAAAACCTGGGATAGAAGAAATACCATTCTCAGTTTTCTGCAGAGCATACACCACCATGCATGCGCCCTCGCTGTTGGTCTCGCAATCTCAGACACAAGAAGATCAAGGAGGAGAGCAGGAAGTGGCTGGCTTGAAAGCATGATGAACAAACGAAGCAAATCTCCACTTCTCTCTCAATCCTCCCCCCCTCCATTCTGCTCCACATAATCTTTGCGCTCCTTCTCTCCGCCAACAATACTAGATCTTGGCGCCCTCGGTTCTGTTCAAGCCCTCGATCCACTTCATCGCTCTCTCTCCTATCTTCCTGCGGGTACTCCTTCTCATTGTTCTCATCAGCCCCGCTCCTCTTCATTCTCCTCCTCTCCTTCTTACCTAGTCAGCATTTCGCCTTTATATCCTGCTAACAAGAATTTGCTACAAGCACCTGAGGCAGACTTGTTGTTCGTGGCAATTTTTACACCGATCGGACCGGCGCCGCGGGCCGCCGCCGATCGGCCCGGCTGGGCCCGCCTGAGGCAGACTTGTTGTTGGGCCCGCCTGAGGCAGACTTGTTGCACCTGAGGCAGACTTGTTGTTCGTGGCAATTTTTACACCGATCGGACCCATTGGCGCCGCGGGCCGCCGCCGATCGGCCCGGCTGGGCCGGATTACTAACTTAGTAAACTCAGGCCAGTGATACCTTCACTCGGCAGCCAGACGGTTACTAATCCTGGACTCAGTCAGCATGTCACATGCCGTTTTTGACAATGATGGAATCAGTACCGGCGCTGCGGGGCCGCGCCCGGCGGGCCGTCCCGGCCGCGGGCCGCCTGACAGTGAGCAGCCTACTGCCAGGCTCAGCCTGTGAGTCACAGTGGCTGCCAGCCTGTCAGTGAGGCCCAACTGGCAATGATTGCCCGGGTTTCAAGTATGAGGCAAGTTTGGTAGTCACATGATCGCCGCTTGAAGTTCCCGAGTCTTCCGAGTCACAGCGGCCGCGTCACCATCGGATCGCCCCGCCGCGGGGCCGGGCGCCGCACTCCTGGCGGCAAGACATCATTGAATGCGGCGGCCGCGGCTGCCCGGGCCTGACCGTGCCGGCCAGCTGAGGCTCAGTGACCCGGTGCCTCAGCTGCCGACCCGGTCACGGGTACTGCTGAGTGCGACAGTCGGACGCCGGGTCCGATCGGCCCGGCGCGCTCAGGAGCCGGGCGGGCCGCCCGGCCGGCCGCCGCAGTGACTCGCCGGGCCCGGGGCCAGCGGCTGCCAGGCGGCCCGGAGGAGGCTGAGTCCGACCGTCCGACGAGCTGCAGTCACGGTGCAGCCGCCGCGGCCGCCGCGCCGGGACCCGGGAGTCGGCGGAGCCTGCGGCGGGTCACCGGGTGCCGACTCGGCGGCTGGCCCGGCACGCTCTCCGAGGCCGCCTGACCGTACTAGCCCGGCCTCTCAGAGTCAGTCGGATTGGCCTACCGGGTACTCGGCGGATCACATCTGGCAACTTGCCAGCAAGTTCACTGACTCGTGAGGCTTTAAGACGGTTAACTTCGCCGCCAACCCGGGCAATTTTCGGAGTTTCAACGGTTCGGAGTAACTGAGCCTTCACCGTGACAATGATGCGCCGCGGAAAGATTCAACCGTGGTGCACTGTGGCTCGTTCTGATTCATGTTCAACTCATTACTGTGCCAGTGCCACTGCCGGGTGTCGGACACGGCCCGGCCGGCCGCGCTGGGCCGCGGCACGGTCGCTTTAACTCAGGCCCCCGCCGGCCCCGGGCCCGGCCCGCGGGCCGGGGCCCCAAAGCACGCGGCGCGCCGCCGCGCGGCCGGGCGCCGGGCCTGCCGGGGAGCCCTCTGGGGCGGGCTGTTGTAAAAGTACCCTACCCATGTGGGAGAAGTTTTGAAGATCCTCCTACCCCACCCCATCGCACCCTCGAACTTCCGAATTGATTTTACTTTTGGCGACCCTTTTCATGTATCATAGACCCCCCTACCCCATGAATTATCTACCCCTACCCACCTATCGACATACAAACACCCCTCCCTTTACTCATCAAAGTACCCCCCCACCAAGTTTCATTTATAATAGACTTTGATTACCCTGCCTCAAATCTCCTCATCCCTACCCTACCCCCTCGTCCTCCTACCCCTACCCCTACTCTTTTGATGGCTCCAACTCTTTATGAAACAGACGACACTGACCCCACCCCTGGGTTGGCTGTATATAAATAGTACCGGTGGTATCGCAGTACCCCCCAATTTGATGAAAAAGTTGGGGTACTCATGGACATTCACAAATCCCATCAACCATCAGCTGCGGAGGACCCCTGTCTCCCATATTTAACCCCTACCCCACCTTAACCCATGACTTCTTCTTTACAGTACCCCCTATTTAACCACAACCCCCATCACCCCCTACCCCTAGACTTACCTATCGCTCTACCACCCTACCCACCTTCGTGCAGGCACACGGCCGCTCCTTCCCCGACGCCATGGAGGATGACATGGAGGGGGAGGAGGGAGTAGAGAGGAGGGGGGGGAGGCAAGCATGGCAGAGCTGAGAGGTCGATGATGCAGGAAAGCAAGAGGGTTGAAGAGCTGACGAGAAGGGTGGACAGCTGATGCTAGGGATGGCGATCAAGGTCTTGTCGTGGGTTGTGACGAATTTGCGAGAGCTACACGTGAGAAATGGGGATGGGAGAAGCAGAGAGCATACCGATGCAGAGTGAGGTGGAGTTGGGAAATACTGAACGTTAGAATGCTCCGAGACCATTGTTTCTTGCTTATCAATGTCCGATGGAGCTGCCGAAGCATGTGACTGCACCTTGGTACTTCCATGGCGCGTTTATGAGCGTTGTGGTAGATGTGAGTAGGAGATTGTAGGGTGGAGGCAGGGATGGAAGTCAGAGATGTACAGGACATTGAAACGTATCATGTAGAACATAACCTTGATGCGATTGTAATGAGGATGATCAAACGTAGCGCTATCGAGCTCCGATAACACGTCAGACTAAGGGGCAGACACTTGTAATGGCGTTTTGTTGGTGTCGGATTGCTCGAAGGTAGCAAGCAGTATGTTGCAGCAGCAGAATACAGCAGTCAAATACATCGTGATCGCGCACCACCACCTCTTCCTCTTCTTCATGCTTCTTGTTCGACCGCGTTTGATTTCTTTTGTTTCAGTGCTTGACCTCCGTCGACAACGCCGTTCTCCTCCTCCTCCTCCTCCTCCTCCTGACCTTCCTCTAGAGCCGTACCACTTCAGCTGCTGTGATATCATTCACCTGTGCTGAGAGGAGAAAGGAATACCGTCGCACTGCTGGGCTCGGTCACACCTGTGCTGCGGAGGAGCGTAAGGAGGTAGGATGGGAACTACCAGGACAGAGCTGAGGGACAGGACGGTCAAGCCAACGAAGGAGCACGCGAAACAGCAGGAGCAGCCGCGCCTGAGGATCCACGGCTCCAAGTTGTCCGCTATCAGTATGAGCACGGCGTCGGTGATGCTGGTGTTCGTGGTTGGGCTGATCGCAGTTGTCGTCTCCTCCAACGCTGCAGTGCCGCTGGAGATGAAGAAGGATGTGCAGGACAGCGAGCCTGACCTGAAGATGAACGAGATCCAGCACAAGATCATCGAGGCGGCAAAGGCTCGCAACTTTGACGACGTGCTTGTTCTGGCGGCCAAGGCCAAGAGGAACAAGGAGTTTGAGCAGGTGTACGACGAAATGAGGGCGTTCCATGGCTACTCCACCCTCCAGGTCGACGCCTTCTTCTCCTCCCTCATGATGATCATCGTCTCCGAGCTCGGAGACAAGACGTTCTTCATCGCTGCCGTGCTCGCGATGAAGAACCCCCGTAGCACGGTCCTTGCCGGAGCCCTTGGAGGTTCGATGCGTCCCCCGCCTCACTCCTTCCCCTCCCATCTCTCCGTCACTCCTTTCCTTCCCCTCCCTCTTCATCTCTTCCTCACTCCTTTCCCTCCCTTCTCATCTCTCCCTCCCCTCACTTGTATCACCCTGCTCTGTCCTTCCATGATTGCCGTTGCCCGCAGCTCTCTGGGTCATGACGGTGCTTTCTGCTGCTGCTGGCTTCGCTCTCCCCAACCTTATCCCGAGGATGTACACCCACTACGCCTCCGTCTGCCTCTTCATCTTCTTCGGGGCGAAGCTGCTCAAAGGTGAAGGGAGGAGGAGGGACGGGGGCCTCTGACAGTCTGCCAGACGCCAAAGACATGCAGACGTCTGGGCCCAGCGAAGAGCTCGAGGAGGTAAAGATAAAGCCCGTGCCTACTCCTCCTGCTCCTTGTCCTGGTCCTGGTCCTGGTCCTGGTCCTGGTCCTGGTCCTGGTCCTGGTGCATGTCCTGGTCCTGGTCCTGGTCCTGGTGTCCTCAACTCCCTTCTGCTCCTCCCCTGCTTCCAGGAGCATCCTGCTGTCCGCTTGCTGTTCTTCTGCCCTCCTCTTCTCATCTCCATCCCCAGGTCGAGGCGGAGCTGAACAAGACGGATAAGAAGAAGAACACAGATCTTGAATCAGGTGCCTCACCCTCTCTGATGTAAACCCGGGAACTAACCGATGACTCTCCCCTTTCTCCTTCCTATTTCCCTCCTGCTCCTCCTGCTCCTGCTCCTCCTGCTCCTGCTCCTCCTGCTCCTCCTGCTCCTCCTCCTCGTCGTCGTCGTCTCCCCGTCTTTGTCTCTTGCTCCTCCAGAGAATGGGTTGGTAGCGGGGACGCTCAGCAACGGCGTCCTCTGGCAAGGTAGCATATTGCTGGATCGTTCCTTCCCTCCTGATCAGCTCTCCCTGCAGCGTTCACCTTGACGTTCCTTGCCGAGTGGGGAGATCGATCGCAGATCGCGACCATAGCGTTGGTAAGCCTGCTGCTGCTGCTGCTGCTGCTCCTCCTCCTCCTCCTCCTCTTCCTCGTTCTCGTGCTCTGCTTGACTTCGCTTTCTCAGGCCGCGCAGAAGGATCCGATCGGAGTGACAGTCGGAGGTGAAGAGAGTTTTGACTCCTCCGCTCCTTCCCTTGTTGCCCCTCTTTTCCTTGCCATCCCTCTTCCTGTCTCCCTCCCCTGTCTCCCTCCCCTCTCTCGTTCCTGCACTCTCCTCCTTTCTTCTCTATCCGCCTCCCCACTCTCTCTTTCCCCTTCCCCTCTCCCCTTCCTCAAACTCTTGTCAGGCATCGTGGGGCATGCCGCGTGCACGGCGCTAGCAGTGATGGGAGGCAGGATGCTTGCAGCAAGGTTAGCGGCCCGGCTCTCTCAGCAGGGCAGCAGCATCCTAACGCCCTTGTAGGATCTCAGAGAGGACAGTAGCGATATCAGGAGGCCTGCTCTTCCTCGTCTTCGCCATCCACGGCCTCTGGCAAGGAGGCTCGTCGCTCAACAACGCGTGAAGGAGGAGCGACAGGACGGGCAGCGGCGGCTGCCTTGCAGTTTTCTTTGCGTCCCCCTTCAAATTTTGTAAAACATTCCGGATTCTTCAATGGACCGCACAAGCTTCAGCCTCTTCCCCTCTTAATCCTTGAAGTTTCTTTAGCTGCTCCTCCTCCTGCTCCTCCTCCTGCTTCCTGCTTCCTGCTTCCTGCTTCCTGCTTCCTGCTTCCTGCTTCCTGCTCCTTCTCCTTCTCCTTCTCCTTCTCTTGCTCCTTCTCTTGCTCCTTCTCCTCCTCCTGCTCCTGCTTCCTTCTCCTTCTCCTTCTCCTTCTCCTGCTCCTGCTCCCCTCTGCTTCTGCCCTTGAATTCGTCCCTGCTGCCCTTGACTCTTCCACTGCTTTTTCTCCTGTCCTTAGTTCTGCTCCTTCTCCTGCTCCTGAATCTCTTCTGCCCTTGCCCCCAACCTCCCATTCGGGTGTTCTAGCGTTTCAGCTGCAGAGGCTTCTTCTCTGTCGACCTCTCCTCCTATCCCCTGGTCTCCCTACTTTCGTTTTCCTCCGCTCGCTCTAGCCCTCCTATTTTCTCCCAATGTCTGATCTCCCTCCCCCTTTCCCTCTTTCCAACCTTGCAAGCGTCTCAAGCATGTAACGGCATGTTCACGTACGCGATGTTTATTATCACAATCACAAGGTCGAGAGCTCAACTAGGTCAGCGATCCCACTACAAGATACCACAAAACTTCCAACGATGGGCTGACTTGTCAGCACGAGCCCAGCTGGAAGTTGGCTACTGTTATCCCCATGTCTACTACCCGTCCAGTCGCCGCCATGGCTCGGTGCCTGAGCCCAGGGACCTGAGCTGGGCGCCTGGCTTGCTTGCAGCACGAGGCCGTAGCAGGGATGGCAGGATGCCTTCTGCTCCTCCCCTCTGACCTGAAGCTCCTCCTGTACTCCAGACATCCCGTGCCGCCCGTGCTGTTGCCTCGCGAACCCCTGACCCCACGATCACAAAGGACGCGCACCACAGAGCTCTTACCTTCCTCGCCCTCCTCCGCTGCCCTTGATGTGTGTACGGCCATCGCTGCAGCCCGAGCCTCCTACATGCTACCTTCAACGTGGACCTCCCCACCCCCTGCCGAGGACAAGGCAAGGTCAGCTCCTGCCTCCTCCCTCTCGACATCGCACTCACCATCCTTTGTGCTGCCTCTCCCAGAGGAAGGGCGAAGAAGGGCTCAAGGCTGGCCATGGTAACACTTGCCAGGTTGAGCCCCTGGCTGACGGAGCCGACGGCTTCCTCCTTGAAACCTCCTCGAGCGGTGGATGAGCTCGCACGTTCTTCCTTGGCAGCCTCTCGCAAGAGGATGTTGCTGAGGTTATCAGGAACCACCCATGACTCCGTGTCAAACCATTCTCCTCCGTCGTCTTGGCTCGTCATGCTCAGATCTTGACCGCAGTGCCCGGAAAGTCGTAGGACGTAAGCCGCTTGCTCCAACTTGGGGGTGGAGGAACACCAAGCTCGAAATGTTGCGCACCTGAGTGTGGGAGAGAGCAAGGAATGCAGACCGATGAGGGCAAGATAGTGATACAGGGAGGGAGATAGGACGGAGAAGCTTGCGCAAGAGCCCGGGAAGCGATGGAGTATGGACAAACCAGGAGGGAAATGTTACAATATTCCTCGCAAACCCAGGGAGGGATCAGTTCAAGATAAGCGAAGGTAGTGGGGGGATAGAAAGCGGATGAAGTAAGATTTGCTGGATGATTTAATGATGTTTGTGAAGACGATGTTGCTGCTGCTGATTGTGATGGCGATGAAGAGGAGGTGGTGGTGAAGGCGTTGGGGGAGAGGGAGGGATACAGTATCGTCTACTTGAGCACAGTTTTAACAGCACCTCCCTCATCTTTTTTTCTCATTTTCGGAAGTCACGTTACCCAGTCATGGAACTGACTTTTTTTTCGTAACACGGATGCCACTCTAAATGTATTTTCGGACAAATTGTAAAATGGATATGTCGGAGATCTTGTCGAAAGCGATCTATTTCAAACCTACAGCCTCTTAATCTTTAAAGTTAGGGTCGCCGGATACGAACCCTTCTGTAGTTGATACTGCAACATGTCAATGCATTTTCATAGAGGGATGATAATCCGGTGATAGAATCACACTTGTTCTGCTATCACGTTTGGATGGAAAGCTTGCAGATATTCAGAGCGAGCTCATGACGATTTTAAAGTGTCTGCGCAACGAGAGACTCTATTTGGCTCGGTGCAATATGAACGCATGGATCGTATGATTCAAGAAGAAATGTTTTTCAAGTGTAATGCCTCTTCTGAAGTTTATCAGGGTAAGATACAGATTTCAATGGAATCTAGATCCATAAGAATCAACTTGCGGAGTTATGACGAGCCTGGAGAGGAAGCTTCGATCCCTATAGAGTAGCACTTTGTTTTCCCCTTGTTGGTAAACGGCCAGCGGTTAACTCCAAGTTTCCTACACACGTACTTCATCGTAGATCGACCGATTCCCTGGATATTGAAGTGAGCGACATTCTTGAATATAGACAAACAGCATGAAATAACTTACAATGGCAGTAGCTGCGTCTTCCATACTGAGGTGGAAGTGCTGGGATATCATGGCTCTAGTTAGCCGAATCTTCACGCACTTCACCCTGGAAACCTTTCTGGAATTGACAATCACGCTTGTTTCTTGCAGATCCCTCGCTCTTGCAGCTGCATTATCTTCTTGCTGATTTCTGATCGTCGCCTCAGGGAGGGGCGGTTCGTGTCCTGTTTCACATTGTACATGTGCACATTGTTTGTAATCGCTTTCGAACTCGTTTGTGATCAGGTTTGTCGGATCTATGGGCAGAGAAAATGTCCAAAGCGCACCCTTGTCCTCGCTTTCGAGAAAATCATGCATGTTTGCAACCTCATTCTGATACACAGCATCGAAATGGTAGCTGTTCATCGTTGCCTGCTATTTCCTCTTTTCGATATGTTCCCTTTCTTTCAATCTTTGATGCTCGATTTGGAATAACCAGTTCAGGAGCACAATCAAGTATTGGGATGCGTGCTGTGCGTGCTGTGCGTGCTGTGTGGGATCGAAGGCTTTTGAAGGGAAGGCGAAGGAGCCAATCACGGAGAGAGATTTCGGGGGTCGACGGCTTTGTCATCCGGGGGTCCCCTGTTCATGCGAAAAAGATCATTTCCAGTTTTCGAGACTCATCTTCGAGATACCACATTACAAGTCTACTTGAAGTGTTGCGTTTGTCGCATCCCGCCAGACTGTCGGCGGGCTCACGAATTTGAAAAGAGTTTTTTTCGTACAAGGAGGCCGTCCCCCCCTACACAAGCTCGCCTCAGTTCATCAGGCACCCGAAGGGGGTCAGAGGAAAGCAAGTCCGCCCCAGTGCTTGAAGCCCGCATCAGCATGACTGGCACGTTGTGACAACCAGAGGCGGGCTTGCTGACCCGGTTTAATCTTACAAGTCATTTTAAAGGCTGCGTGACAGACGATCCCCACGCAGGCGTAAGCCGTCAGCTCGCCGTAGATCCGTCAGCAGGTCCCATGAGTCGTATCACGGACACTCCGCCCTCACACTGCACCTTCCGCCCAGATATACTTGAAATACTTTGGCCCGCCGCCTAGCATACCAAGTTGTATCGGAGGGTTGGGGGGAGTGAAGGAAACAACACGATTGTTTCACAGCCCTTGATATGCCCCAGTGCTCCTGTCATACTTTCACCTACAGCGCACATAAGAGTCATTTCCTAGAGCAGCAATCAGTGTAGGTTGATCGTTCACCAACTTTGTTAATGCAAGTGACAGCAAGCATGTGAAAGCTTTAGTCCCCTGTTGAGGTCATCTGAGATCTGATTATGATGGCAGAGATCAAAGACGCGGCAAGGACTTTTTCATCGTAGACATCAAGCTACAGCTGAGGTGTTGGAGCATGAAGATGTTGGTAGGGTACAAGACATCCACACCGGCATTCGATGCTCTCGCTTCTCTCTACATGGACATGTGCTTGGTCGGCCCCTCGTGAGACCCCGGAAAACGCTCAGATGTCTGGAGGTGTTGACAGCAGCAAAAGTATCCGGGAGCCTTTCGAGACAGAAACAAGCGCAATGCTGGGAGGGTGGAACGAAGACGACGGGATGAATGAGTCATGGGCAATTCAGATCCCTTCCATGCCTTGGAGTCCAGCGAACGAGGACAGAAACAGAGCTGAGATGGACTCTGAGGAGGGAGAGGGCCCTTCTTTGGCAGCCTTTGGGTGGCAGCTTGAAGGGTCCTCCACGACTAGTGAAGATGGGCAGGAGGGGTCGACATATATCCAGCCGGAGGAGGGCAGGGCTGAGTATGTGGAGGTGAACTCGAGAAAGCTGTCAAGGAAGAGGTGCGTCAGAGTGAAGATAGACAGGGAGGTGCTTTCAAGACATTTCCACCTGAGCATGGAACAAGCAGCCTCATCGATTGTGTGTGCTTGCCCTGACTTGTTGTGTTTGTTCCGACACTGATCGCTGCCCCAGGGGATCGGGAAATCTACAATGAAGTACGTGTGCCGGAGGTTGGGGATCCAGAAATGGCCTTACACGACCAAGGGGCAGAGGTGGAGGGAGCAGGTGAAGGAGGCTGATCCAAGCTGATTCTTCGCCTTCTGAGCCCAACAGGGTTGTACTCACGATCCTGTTTTTTAATATGTCCGAACAGCGTCAGATATGCGCTACGTAGATCAGTTGACGACTTCAATCCTGTTCCGATGAGCTATTGGAAGAATTCCCTGCTCCTCCTCCTTCTCCTTCTCCTGCTCTTTTCTCTCCTCCTGCTCCTGCTCCCCTTCCCCCCCTTCCTCCTCCATGATGATAGCAAATCTCGGGCACCATCTTTTCATTTTCCTTGGAATTCTCGTGATGTCATGTTTGACGTCAATCAGGCCATGATTGGTGAACAGACTACTTTCATCAGCTCTTTTCCCCCATCGAATGCTGGATGTAGATTTCTTGCGTAGTGCTACGAAGATGTACTTGACACGAGCACCAGATCACTACAAGAACCAAACAAACCAACCAACCTTCTCACTTTATGATCTTTCTATCCACCAGGCCTCACTGCACTACTACCTATCTCTCAATTCTTGATGTTTACGTACTTCTGGCCAGACACTATATACAAGGGTCATCTCATTACCAAGATGCTGCCTGTATGACGAGACAACAGCTGGCAGGGTTCCTACGAAAGGAACAAGGCGGAAACCAGGAGTCAGATGCTGACATAATGACATGTTGATCGTCAGGAGATCTTTTGATGTCATTGCAGTGATGCATTGATCGAAGAGCAGAGGCAATTGGGTGAGAACAAGTATACTTGACAACCCGGCTGTCATCCCATTTCGTTACACTTGAAGCCTCTGTTGCTGGTGCTGGTGCTGGTGCTGGTGCTGGTACTGGCGCTGGAACCTGAAAATACCAGTAATGGGATCACCCTACCCTGTGCTGTATCCATGAGGATCCGGAATCACGGATACTCGCCGGATACTCTCTATTTTTAAGCGGACGCTTCCCCAGCGTTCGGCCTCCTGAATTCCCCCCACTTGCATGCACAGCAAGTGTGGTGTTTGTGCGTAGTTTACCTTCAAGTAAATTTAGAGACTTCTATCTTGTCCTTCTCTATCTTCTTCATCCTTGCTTTACTCGTGACGTCGACAATCTCTGTGTTGTGTATACAATACCCTGCATGATTTACCAGACCAAAACAGGTCTTGCTCTCCAGACGTCTCTCGTAAATCGTCTATTGTAATCAAAGCAACAGCACCAGTTCTATCGTTGAATCAGAGTACATCACCAGCATCAGCTGATGCTGTCTAGACGTGATTCACTCTACCCTGCATAGACGTCTAGAGAGCACAGACGTCTAGAGAGCAAGACCTGTTTTGGTCTGGTGAATCATGCAGGGTAGGGTGATCCCATTACCGGTATTTTCAAGTTCAAAATATCGGTCAAAATTAGGGTAGGGTGGTGAAAAACATAGGGGTGGTGGGTCTGGTAAGGGTCAACGACTGTCGAAACCGTTGATGCGTTGAGAGCCTTTCGAGTGGGGTCAATTCCAGTGGGTGGGGTATTCGTATTGGTGGGGTGCATAAGCGATAAGATGTTTATGTACGGGTGATTACGTGCAGTCCATCATGTGAAGTCAAGGGTCATAAATTTAAGAAGGGGTGGGGGTAGTCAAATTTCTTGAACGGGCGGGGTACAGGTTCGACGATGACAGCGGATCGATGGCGGGAAGGAGGAGGCATGGTTGGAGGAGGAGGCATGCGATGAGGAGAAGGCGTGTGATGAGGAGGAGACATGGGGAGGAGATGATTCTGGAGAAAGGAAACAAGCAGCGTGAGGAAGAGGAGATGGTTGAAGCAGGAGGGAGCGAGAGCGTTGGAAAGGTGACGTAGAGCATGAGTGTAGGGGACTTCGAAGTCAGGTATGAGAGAGAGGGAATGGCATGCAAGCAACGTCAAGTGAGATGGTCCATCGAAGGCTGTAGAGCTGGCATTCTGGAGCCGCGTATGATTCGGAGCTCTTATCGACGGATGCTATGTTTTCAAACAGCTCCTGACTTTGCCCCTGCAGGTGAAAGGAGCCTGATTAATTTACAACTCGAATCTGGAGAAGGAGGAGCTGTAGAAAGTTACGTGAAAAAGCAGTGAAGTAAGTAGAGCCATCCGATCTCAGCCGACCATCTGTGGTCGTTGAGAACGCGATGCCGCCCATTGGGATAGCGCAGTGGGGAAACCCCCCCAGCGCCCCTTCTCCTCCTCCTACCCGGAGCGGTCATACCTTGACCAATGTCGGCAAGCTGTGCATCCTCTTCGGAGGGATGGGAGAAGACAACGACAACGTTACGATCTACAATGAGACGTTTGCGATCGACGCGTCGGCCAACGACATTCCATGCACATTCCTTCAATGCGAGGGGAAGGCTCCGGAGGGGAGGTGGAGGCATACGGCGACCTGCATCGGCGATTCCTGCATGCTCGTCTTCGGGGGGATAGGGTCCAACAGCAAGAGGTTCGATGACTGCTGGAAGCTCGACATCAGCGGCGATAGTCCTGTTTGGACCCTGCAACCCACAGCCGGCCAAAGGCCTAGCCCAAGGGCTCACCACTCAGCAAACTTGTGGAAGGAGCACCTGGTGGTGTTCGGAGGATACGGAGGACACGGCCAACGGCGCACGTACTTCAACGATGTGCATCTCCTGAACCTTCAGGGCGGCGAGGATGGGGCGTTGGAGTGGGTACAGGTTCAAATTGGCGGAAACCCTCCTGCTCCACGTGGGAATCATACGGCGTCTGTCATGGCTGTGCCGGCAAGCTCAGGGCCAAAGATGCTCATGGTGATGGGAGGGAGAGACTACTCCACCTTCTTCGATGACATCCACTTCCTGGTAAGAGCCCACACAACCGTGTCGTCCGTATCCTCTGCCCCGCTTTTGTTCGAATTGACACTTAAGTTTCGCACAGAATTTGGAACAAATGGAGTGGACGACGGTTTCGGACCTTCCCAACCCGACAATTCCCAACCGGCTTGCAAATCACGCCTCCCTGGCCATCCAATCTGTTCCGCACTACAAGGTGTTTGTCTTCGGCGGGCAGGTACTGCTTCTCTGGTTGTGCTGCAAGGAAAGTTGACATGTTTCTGTCAAGGTTGGAAACAAGGACGCGCGAACTGACTGGAAGTACGTCAACAACGTGAACTGCCTTGACTGCGGCCGCATGGAGTGGATGGCGTCGGACGAGCACGGGGCCAGCTTCGTGGAGGGCAACTTCCCGACGCCCCGAGAGGACGTTGCGTACTGCTTCGATCGCAAGACCGGGAGGATTCTGATGCATGGAGGGTGGGCGGATCGTTTCTGCTCTGACATGTTCTACCTTGACGTATCCTCCATCGTCGGGCCTCCATACGCGATCTACTCCCTCATCCCCAGCGAAGGCCCTCTGACCGGACACACGCCCATCAAGATCGTCGGAGAGGATTTCACTCCTTCTGCTCCAGGTCCTCTGTCTCCCTCTCACCCTCCTCGGTACTCACGTGTAGCTGCAGTCAAGATCCAGTTCACCGACGGCAAGAACACCGAGGTGGTTGATGGTAAAGTCATCAGCACTACTGAGGTTGAGGGAATACGCGCTGGGACAGCCACCTGACCACCTCTACAGATCATTTGCGAGAGCCCCGATTGGACCAAGTACTCAGCAGGTTTACATGTCCTCCTTGCTCCTTGCTCCTTGCTCCTTGCTCCTTGCTCCTTGCTCCTTGCTCCTTGCTCCTTGCTCCTTGCTCCTTGCTCCTTGCTCCTTGCTCCTTGCTCCTTGCTCCTTGCTCCTTGCTCCTTGCTCCTTGCTCCTTGCTCCTTGCTCCTTGCTCCTTGCTCCTTGCTCCTTGCTCCTTGCTCCTTGCTCCTCGCCCCCTCCTATCCCATTTCTCTCTCTCCTCACCCTCCTTGTGCTCCTTGTCCCTCCCTCCTCCTTCTGTCCTCAAACTTGAGCTTGCAGGCGAGGTTATGGTCAGAGCAAACCTGAGAGGGGAAGGCTTCACAGTGAACGTGGTCAAGTGGACCTTCTTTGTCAACACCAGACCCAACAAGTGCATCGCGTTTGGCCCCGGGCTGTTCGACTCGGAAAACGCCGGGTGGGGATTCCCTGCAGTGTTTAAGGTGCAAGCAAAGGACCAGACAGGTCGCAACCGAAGCTCGGGAGGAGAGGCGTCGTGCTGGCGGCCCAAGGTGAGCAGCCAGGTGGACTCATGGTTTGGGAGGAGGAACAGGAGCAGGAGCATGAGGGAGAGAAGGGAAATAACAACTGGGTGCAGGTTGTCTTCAAGGATACCGGAGAGAACATCCCGTGTCACGTGGTTGACTGCAAGGACGGCACGTACGATATGGTGAGGAGGAGGAAGAAGAGGAGGAGAAAATGGTGGTGGTGGTGGTGGTGGTTTTCGCTGCCCGCTCTACTCACCTCCTCTCCTCCCAGATCTACGTTCCTATTCATCCCGGGCAGTACGTGATCGAGGTAGGATACTGCGACCCTCTCGTACAGGGGGACGAAGTTATCTTCATCCGCGGCTCCCCCTGGACAGCCTCGTTCGAGGACCCTTGGACCAAGGTCAAGTACCAGAACGAGCCGCCGCGCGTCGTGTCCGGGGTGCAGGCGGTAGCCATGGTGAAGAAGATGGTGCTGTATGGTGGGAAGTCAGACGAGGTGGTATGCTTCGACCCGGACAGCCTGTCGTGGGAGAGGCCCGAGGTAGAAGGACACAGCCCTCCGAGTCGCTCGCTGCACTCCTTCTGCGCGCTAGATAACGAGAAGGCGATCGTGATAGGAGGGAAGGGGGAGGATGAAAAGCTGCTCAATGACATTCACGTCCTTGTGTGTGAGAAGGGGAAGTGGAAGTGGCAGGCTGCAGGCGATGTCCATGGAGACAAGAACGCGCCGAGGGCGATGCATGCTGCTTGTTTGATCCCAGGTAAGAGCGGAGGAGGGAGGAGGGAGGAGAGGGAGAAGGAGGGAGGGAGGAAGTAAGGGAGAGAAGTAGACGGAGGGAAGGAGGAAAAGAGGAAAGGGAGAGAGAGAGAAGAGGAGGGTATGAGGAGGGGAAGAGGCAGAGGAGGAGGGAAAGGGAGAGGGAGGATGGAGGAATGGATGGATGGATGGATGGAGGGAGGAGGGCTGACGTTGGTTGGCAGTCGGCAAGAAGGTAGTTATCTTCGGAGGTATCGGGAGCGACGACCTTTCGCGCGACGATCTCTGCGTGCTGGCTGCGCAGAACATCGCAAAGTTAGATCTCCTCGACGTCGGGAAGCAAGTGGTAGAGGAGGTGGACGAGGAGGAGGAGGAACAGGCCCACAAACAGGAGCCCAAGGAGGAGCACAAACCTGCAGCCCCTACAGAGGAGGGAGGAGGGGAAGGAGGGGAAGGAGGGGAAGGAGGGGAAGGAGAGGAGGAGGGAGAGCACGCAAGTTCCCACCATCAGGAGCATAAGGAGGAAGAGGATGAGGGAGAGAAAAGATTCCCAAGCTCAAGGAGATTCCAGGTGAACTAGTTTACATGCTCTCCTCCCTCCTGTCCCTCACCCTCCTGTCCCTCCTCTCCCTCCCTCCTCTCCCTCCTCTCCCTTCTCTCTTTCTCTTCTCTCTTTCCCTTCATCCTTCTCTCCACCCCTTCCACTCTCGACTCCTGACCGTCTCCCAAGGCCGGAGGAGGAAGCACGGCATCGCAGCAGTGGAAGGAGTGATCTACGCGTTCGGAGGAGAGGCAGAGATCGGCAACGAGCGGCACCTGACCAACGTCACGGCCGTCGGGGAGTTCCAGATGGAGGGCAAGACGCTGGCCAAAGGGGACGCGATCCGATGGAAGCGGCTTAAAGTCACGGGAACGGTCCCTTGCCCTCGTCGAGACTTCAACATCTCCACGGTGGAGGGGAAGGTGTTGGTGCAGGGAGGAAGGGACATGGAGGGCAAGCTGCTCGACGACCTCTACAGCCTCGACCCGTCCACTGGCGAGTGGAGCATTGTGTACCGTTCAGACAATGCATGGCAGAAGAACGAGTTTGCGCTGTCGTGCTTGATCGGCAAGAGACTGCTGACGGTGTCGGCCAAGTCCGAGGACGTCAAGTCAAAACTCGATGACGTCAGGATCCTGGAGTTCGGCAAGATCGCAGATCAGCATGCGCTCGTTCCTGACATGATGAAACGAATCTCCAAGGAGTTGGCCGCCCTTGCGTCCTTCAACTCCGGTAGGATACTATGACCGTCCCTCTGTCCCTCCGTCCCTCGTCAATTGTTTCACTCCCCTTCCTGCTTGCCGTCCTTCCTGGCTGTATTTCTTTTCTCACTCTCCCTCCCCCGAACCCTTCCTCTCCTCTCCTCTCCTCTCCCTTCCCCTCCCCTCCCCTCCCTTCCTCTCCCTTCCCCTCCCCTCCCCTCCCCTCCACCCCTTCCCTCCCCTCCTCTCCTCTCCTCTTCTCGCCTTTCCTCTCATCTCCTCTCGTTGACATCTCCACCAGACTCAGCCAAGAACCTTGCTCTTGACCCCACGAAGCAAGACAGCGAGGAGAAACAGCGCGAGATTCTGATCAAGGTCAAGGGCTGCATCTACCAGGCGAAGGTCGATCAGCCGATCATCGAGCTGCAGCTCGACGTGCTCAAGGACGCCATCGGCTACTTGCAGCGGCAGGGAACTCCGACGGAGAAGCTGGAGAAGGAGATTAAAGATGTCTTTGACGGGTTTGCCGATGTCAAGAAGCAGATCCCCTCCGCCCTCGAGCTCATCAAGCCCGTCCAAGAGAGAGAGGCAGAGAAAATCAAGGCTGAGGTGAGGCCTGCTGATGTTGCCTCCCCTGCTCCTGCTCCTCCTGCTCCTGCTCCTCTTCCTTCTCGCCGCTCCTCCTGCTCCTCCTCCTCCTCCTCCTCCTTAACTGTCTCCTTTGCTTCTTCCTCCTGTCTCCTTCCCGACTGCGCCTTCCTCCCCCCCTCGTTTCACCTATTTCCCTCCTGATCCTACTTTCCCCTTCCGCGTTGCAGCTTTGCGTCAACCCACCAACTCCTCTCCTCCTCTCCTCCTCTCCTCCTCTCCTCCTCTCCTCCTCCCCTCCCTCCCTTTCTCTTACCTCGCTTCCCTCAGATCGAAAAGTTCACCCTAAAGACCAAGGTCACGCAGAAGGACTTCGGCGAGAGGTACCGGGATGGCAGCCGGAGCGGAGGAGCTGACTAGCTTGCAGGGACTTCAACTCCTACACCACGGGCGTCGAGCAGTCCTACCTGTCCGTCTTCGAGACCAAGAAGATGCTGAGATCGCTGGATGCCGAACTCGATGGGCTGAAGCACTTCGCAAGGGTCTTCGAGTTCCCAGAGCTCACGGACGAAGCGAACTCCATCGTGGCCGCCATGCACGCCGACCTCAACACGATCTTGCAACTTTGGCACCTTGTGAGTTGACGAGTGTTTCTCTGTCTTGTTGGAGTTCTGTCATTGGTTTGTGTTGCTGAACTTCTTTTCTTGGTTTCTGTTGTTGAGGTTCTTGTCTTCCCCTGTTGTGATGTTATTGTGTTGTTTGTTCTTGGAGTCCCAATCTTTTCGTTTTTGCGTTGGAATGTCTTCCATTGTTTCCTTCCTCGAGGTTGTGACTGATGATGTTTCAGATTGCAATGGTCAACAACCAAATGGAAGTTTGGAACCAAACCCTTTGGGCTGACATCAACGTTGAGGTTACAAGCTCTTCATCCCTTCCTCCCTCCCTCCCTCTTCTCTCCCACTGTCTCTCTTCCTCTTCCTCTTCCTCTTCCTCCTCCCTGCTCTTCTCGCACCTTCCACCCTCTCCTCCTCCTCCTCCTCCTCGCTCATCTATCGCCTCGTCAGGTCATGGAGGATGGGACCAAGGCATTCTTCAAGCAGCTGCGAGCTCAAGACAAGGTTGCCAAGGTAACCAACGCGTACACGACGATAGAGGGAAAGGTCAAGGGCTTCCTGACAGCGCTCCCCCTTGTCTCGGACCTCCGCCATCCGTCCATGCGCCCCAGGCACTGGAACATGTTGCGCCAGCTGACAGGCAAGCAGTTCGACGAGACCAGCCCAGAGTTTGACCTCAGGACTCTCAACGACTTACACTTGGACGAGTTCGAGGATGACGTGGGCGAGGTCAGTCAAGGGTCTGCGTGCTTGTGTCTTCGCTTCCTCCTGATAGTTCGGCGGCTTCCCTGCCTGCTGTCTTTTTCCCCCCTGCTTTGTGCCTGTCGTGTCCTCCCCTCCCGCTCTCTCCCCCTGCCCTCCTCCTTGCGATGCTGCTGCTTGGCCTTCCCATGCTCATCTGATACTGATCTGCTTGTTCAGATCGTCAACCGCGCACAGAAGGAGGAGAAGATGGAGCAAGCGCTAGAGAAGATCGAGAACACGTGGAAGACTTTGGAGTTTTTCTTCACCCAGCACAAGGACACGGATATCCAGATGATCAAACTGTCGGAGGAGGACGTTGAGACGCTGGAAGACCACCAGGTTCAGGTTCAGAACATGATGGGCAGCAGGTACCTCGCTACCTTCGAGGAGCAGGTCACGGGGTGGCAGAAGAAGCTTTCCTCCGTCGCTGACGTCGTCGCCATCATGACTGAGATCCAGAGGACCTGGGCGTACCTTGAGACGCTCTTCATCGGCTCTGAAGAAGTTAGGAAGGAGCTGCCGGAGGACGCGGAGAGGTTTGCCGGCATCGACATCGACGTCAAACAAGTTCTCAAGGACATGTACGCGACCAAGAACGCGGTCAAGGCATGCTCCTCCGATGGGCTGTACCCCAAGTTGGAGTCTACCCAGTCGAAGCTGGAGATGTGCGAGAAGTCCCTGGCCAACTATCTGGAGCAGAAGAGGAGGATCTTTCCTCGCTTCTACTTCGTCTCCACGACTGACCTCCTGGACATCCTCAGCAACGGCAACGATCCTTCCAAGGTCAACTTCCACATGAGCAAGATCATCGCTGCTATCGAGACTCTCAACCTTGAGAGCGGTATCACCAGCTCCGAGCGGCCGAGCGCGACGGGGTTTGACTCGTGTGTCGGGGTGGAGCATATCGACCTTACCAAGCCGCTGAAGATCGACGGGAGGGTGGAGAACTACCTGCAGACTATCATTGACAACGTCGTGACATCTCTCAGAGATATTCTCGTCAAGTCGATCGAAGCTTTCTCTACTACCCCGACTGAAGTTTGGGTGAAGAAAGAACCAAACCAGATTATCTTGACTACCAGCCTTGTGTTCTTCACCAAGAAGATGGAGGAGACGTTCGTTGATATCAAGAATGGCAACGCCAAGGCCATGGAAGGAATGCTCCAGTTCAAGATCAATGCGCTGACAGAGCTCATCGACTTAGGTGATTGTGATGGTGGCGGTGGTGGCAGTGGTGATGATGACGACGATGACGATGAAGATGAAGATGATACCTGTTTTGATTGCTTGTTTCCTGCCGCTCAACCTCGTTTCCCATGCCTAATTCTCCTCTGCTCCGTCCAACCACCATCGACAACCTTTCCTTCATCCTGCTTTTCTGACTTCCTTATCACAGTTCGCACGAACCTCACCAAGGCCGAACGTATGAAGATCATGTGCCTCATCACCCTCGACGCTCACTCGCGCGACATCGCGGCGAACTTGGTGGAGGGCAACGTGACTGAAGTGACTCAGTTCGAATGGCAAAGTCAGCTCCGCTTCGAGTGGCGATCAGCGGAGAAGGATTGCTTCATCATGATTGTGGACGCTGAGTTCACATACAGGTCTTCTTATCCCTCTGATCTTCATTTTAACGTCATTGTCATTGACCACAACAAAAACAACATGAACATGATCATCATCATCATCATCATCATCATCATCATCATCATCATCATCATCATCATCATCATCATCATCATCATCATCATCATCATCATCATCATCCCCAACACCTCCTCCTCCTCCTCCTCCTCCTCCTCCTCCAACTCCACATCCACCAACAACCTCTCACCGTCCTCTCTTCTCATCACGCTTCTCTTCGCAGTTTTGAGTACATCGGCAACGGAGCTCGTCTGGTTATCACCCCCCTCACCGACAGGATCTACGTTACAGCCACTCAGGCTCTCAAGCTCTGCATGGGATGCGCCCCGGCAGGACCTGCGGGGACGGGCAAGACGGAGACGACCAAGGATCTCGCTGCCATGACAGCTGTGTGTATCTATGTGTTCAACTGCGCGCCGGAGATGGACTACAGGACAATGGGAGACATTTGGAAGGGGCTGGGGGCGTCCGGGGCCTGGGGATGCTTCGATGAGTTCAACAGGCTGATAGCGGAGGTTCTTTCTGTTTGCTCGACCCAGTACAAGTGCGTGCTGGACTCCCTCAAAGCAAACCGCCCCACCTTCGTCATCGACGGAGCTGAGCTCAGTCTCACCCGCTCGGTCGGGGCGTACATCACCATGAACCCGGGCTACATTGGCCGCACTCCACTGCCCGAGTCCCTCAAGGTGCTGTTCCGCCCTGTCACCGTCGTTGTGCCGGACTTTGCGCTGATCTGTGAGAACATGCTCATGGCGGAGGGTTTCACGCAAGCGAAGCTGCTGGGGACCAAGTTCATCAACCTCTACACGCTCTGCGGGGACTTGCTGAGCAAGGCGAAGCACTACGACTGGGGCCTGAGGGCTATCAAGAGCGTGCTCAGAGTTGCCGGAGACTTCAAGCGAGCGGAGCCCGAGGTGCCGGAGCTGGCGCTGCTGTTCCGAGCCCTGAGAGACTTCAACCTGCCCAAGATCGTAGGAGACGATCTCATCATCTTCATGGGCCTGCTGGGAGATCTTTTCCCCGGCATCGACATCCCCCGTCAGAGGAACTGGGACAACGAGAAAGTCATAGCAGAGGTCATCACCGAAGCTGGGCTCCAGCCGGACGACGACTTCCAGCTCAAGGTGGTACAGCTCGACGAGCTGCTGGCGATCCGGCACAGCGTCTTCATCATGGGCTCGTCGGGGACGGGGAAGAGCGAGTGCTGGAAGATCCTGTCAGGAGCCAAGATCAAGCAGGGAAACAAGTGCGTGTGTAGGGATCTTGACCCCAAGGCTATCACTACCTACGACTTCTACGGCTACGTCAGCCTGGCGACGAGGGAGTGGAAGGACGGTGTCTTTTCCTGCCTCATGCGCGAGCTCGCCAACGCCCCGGACACAAACTCCAAGTGGATCCTCCTGGATGGTGACCTGGACGCGAACTGGATCGAGAGTATGAACTCGGTCATGGACGACAACAAGCTGCTGACCCTCGCGTCCAACGAGCGCATCCTGCTGAAGCCGCATATGAAGCTTATCTTCGAGATCCGAGATCTCAAATACGCTACCCCCGCCACTGCCTCTCGGGCCGGTATCACCTACATCACTGAGAAGAAGAGCCAGTGGTGGAGTTACATCCAGAGTTGGGTCGCCCGGAGAGAAGATGACACGCCTGGTCAGTGTTGTTAGTGGTGTTGGTGTTGGTGTTGGTGTTGGTGTTGGTGTTGGTGTTGGTGGTGTTGGTGTTGGTGTTGGTGTTGGTGTTGGTGTTGGTGTTGGTGTTGGTGGTGTTGGTGTTGGTGTTGGTGTTGGTGGTGTTGGTGTTGGTGTTGGTGCTGTTGGTGGTGTAATTGGCAATGTTAATGAGGGTTGGATTTCCTTCTGAGTGTGTTGTGAAAGAGTTGTTTGTGATGTTTGCTGTGTATGATCTAGTGTTATGAACTAGTATGGCATGCTCGATCTTGTTCTGTCACAAATCTGCTCGTGTAAGAATGCCTTCGTGACCTGCCAGCTCTGTCGTCATATTTGGTTCTCTGTCAGTGTCGTTTGCTCTCTTTCTCTCTCGCCCCTTCGCTTCTCCCTCATCCTGACTCTTCACGGCAGAGAGGAAAGAGTTCCTCCTCTCCCTATTCGAGAAGTACGTCGGCGAGTCGCTGCTGGCCATGAAGATGGAGTTCAAACACATGGCTCCTATCCTTGATTTCAACCTCGTCCAGTCTCTCTGCAACGTCCTGCAAGGGCTCTACACCCCTGAGAACTGCCCCAAGAACGATCCCAAAGAGCAGCTCACCCTTGAGACTTACTTCGTCTTCGCGTGCATATGGGCGTTCGGCTCGGGCTACTCAATAACAGATGGAAACGACTATAGTAAGCGCAGACCTCTTCCATATCTCTTCCTCCTTCTTGTCCTCCCTTCTTCCTCCTCCCTCTAGCTCTCGCTCTCCCTCCCTCCCCTCTCCTCCCCCTCCGTCTCTCCCCTCTTCTCTATCTGCCTTTCTCTTCTCGACCCTAATTTCCTCGTTCGCCTCTCCTCCCCCCCCTTCTTGCCTCTCCTCTTTGATCGCCTCCTCCTTTCCCTCTCCTCCTGACTTCTTCCCAGGAAAGAGCTTCTCCGCATGGTGGAAAGGCAAGTGGACATCGATCAAGATGCCGATGAAGGGAACAGTCTTCGACTTCTTCGTCGACAAGCAGACGCAAAAGTTCGTCAGCTGGGCCAACGTTGTCCCCGAGATCTCCTACTCCTCCACCACCTCCATGGACTCAGTCACCGTCCCCACGGGCGAGACGACCAGTATCACCTTCTACCTCGACCTCCTCGTCGAGCTCCGCAAACCAGCGCTGCTGGTGGGGCTGGCAGGAGCAGGGAAGACCGCGTTGATCAACGGAAAGCTCCGCACGCTGCCGGAGGAATACCTTTCCCTGACCATCAACTTCAACTACTACACCGAGTCAGCCGCGTTCCTCTCAGTGATGGAGGGGCAGCTGGAGAAGAAGGCCGGGAAAAACTACGGGCCCCCGGGCTCTTCCAAGCTCGTCTACTTCGTGGATGACCTCAACATGCCCCAGCTCGACCCCTACGAGACCTCGACAGCGATCAGTCTGCTGAGGCAGTACATGGACTACCAGCACTGGTACGACCTGACAAAGCTGCAGATCAAAGTCATCAACAACTGCCAGTTCCTCTGCGCCATGAACCCGACCTGCGGCTCGTTTGTCATCAACCCTCGTCTGCAGCGTCACTTCATGGTTTTTGCCATCGGGTTCCCCGGCCAGGAGGCCCTTATGACTATCTTCAGCACGTTCCTCAACGGTCACGTCAAGGAGTTTGACCCCAAGATCGCCGATACAGTGTTCCAGAACAAGATCATTCAGGCGGCGCTGGAGCTACATACTAAGGTCAGCTCTCAGTTCAGGAAGACAGCCAACAACTTCCACTACGAGTTCTCGATCCGCCATCTTGCCAACGTGTTCAAGGGCATCCTGATGAGCGAGTCGACGTTCTTCACAGAGCCGGCCAAGTTCGCATCTTTGTTCCTTCATGAGGCAGAGAGGGTGTACGGAGACAGGCTGGTGTCGATCAAGGACCTTGAGGCCTATCAGAAGATCAGCAAAGACACTGGCAAGAAGTTCTTCAAGGACTTCGACCAGGGCCAGGTGTTCCCTAACCCTCATATCTTCTGCAACTGCTGGAAAGGTGAGAGATGAGGGAAAGTTTTGTCATGAGATGCTGATAGCATGCGTCTCCTCTCCTCTCCTCTCCTCTCCTCTCCTCTCCTCTCCTCTCCTCTCCTCTCCTGTCCTGTCCTGTCCTCTCCTCTCCTCGTTCTTCCTCTTGCTTCCAGACTTGGACGAGAAGAGCTATAACCGAGTTGAGACGATGGAGAAGCTCTCAAAGATCCTAGGAGATGCTCTCAACAGGTAAGCAAACAGACTACCCCCTCACCTTCTCCTCGTCCTCTCATCAACTCCTTTCTTCTATTCCAACTTCCCCTCTTGGTCTCAAACCTTCTTTCCTGTCCTATCTCTCTCAACCTTTTGTCTCCTCCTCCCCTCCTCCTTCAGCCTCCTCCTCCTCCTCCTCCTCCTTCTCCTCCTCCTTCTCCTCCTCCTCCTGTTCTAATTTTCTCTCAGCTACAACGAGACGAACGCAGCCATGAACCTTGTGCTCTTCGACGATGCCATGCGGCACATCTGCCGTATCTGCCGCATCATCCAGAACGGGCATGCCCTGCTGGTCGGTGTCGGAGGCAGTGGAAAGCAAAGCTTGACCAGGCTGTCATCTTTCATCTGCAACTGCAGCGTCTCGCAGATCGTGTTGAGCGGGACATACTCCATGTCAGACTTGAAGGAAGATATCAAACAGATGTACATGAAGTCAGGGCTCAAAAACGAGTCCATTGTTTTCCTCTTCACTGACAGCCAGATCGCCGACGAGAAATTCCTCGTGTACATGAACGAGCTTCTTTCCTCCGGCAAGATCCCCAACCTCTTTGCCTCCGACGAGATCGACAGCATCTACGGCTCTGTCAGGAACGAAGGGAAAGGAGAGGGCATCGCTGATACCAAGGATGCGGTGACTTCCTCTTCCTTAGCACTTCTCCTCCTCCATCACCACCACCACCACCACCACCACCTCCTCCTCCTCCTCCTCCTCCTCCTCCTCCTCCTCCTCCTTTCGTTTCTTTCTTTCCGTCCTCATTCACGTTTTATCTTCACTTGCCATCTTCTCTGTACTTCTCTCCTCCTCCTCCTCCTCCTCCTCCTTTTCCTCCTCCTCTCCATTTCTTCCCCTTCTCTTCCCTTCAGCATCCTCTGACAGTGAGTGCAGATGTATGATTTCTTCATCTCCAAAGTCAAGCGCAACCTTCACGTCTGCCTCTGCTTCTCCCCCGTAGGAGAAAATTTCCGCAGGAGGGCTTCAAGATTCCCGTCCCTCATTAACTGCACCGTCATCGACTGGTTCCAGCCATGGCCAGGTGCTGCTGAGGCTCTTCCTGCCTTCTTCCTCCTCCTCCTCCTCCTCCCTCCTCCCTCTTCCTTCTTCCCTCTTCCCTCCTCCCTCCTCCCTGCTCCTCCACTTTCTCATCCTCCTCATTTTCGTCCTCCTCTTGGAGTGCATCTTCCTTTCGTTTGCTCGTCCTCCCTCCTCCCTCCTCCCTCCTCCCTCCTTCATGACCCTCATGCTGTCCACAGAGAACGCTCTCTACGACGTGGCGAAGCGCTTCCTCGGAGAGATCGAGCTGGGAGAGGCAGAGGCGAGGGAGGGGATCATAAAGTTTATGCCCTTCTCCTTCGGGCGGGTCAACGAGGCCAGCGAAGACTACCTGCACAAGGAGCGGAGGTACAACTACACGACCCCCAAGAGCTTCTTAGAACTCATCTACCTCTACCGCAACATGCTCGCCAAGGAGCGCAACACGCTGCAGGCCAACATCGACAGGCTGAGCAACGGGCTCGACAAGCTAGAGAAAACGTCCAAGGACGTGGCGATCTTAGAGGAAGAGATCAAGGTCAAGTCAGTGGAGGTGGAAGCGGCGAAGGCGAACGCGGATGAGATTGCGGAAAAGGTGGGAGGGGAGAAGTCAAAGGTGGAGGAAGCCGCTTCTGCCGCCAACGACGAGGCTGCCAAGTGCGCTGTCATTGCAGAGAAGGCCGGTATCATGCAGGTTGACTGCGAGCGCGACCTGGCGGCCGCCATTCCTGCGGTAGAGAAGGCGGAGGCAGCGCTGGACACGCTGAACAAGAAGGATCTTGGAGAGCTCAAGTCTCTTGGGAAGCCGCCGCAGGGAGTGGACGACGTGACTGCAGCGGTGCTGGCGATGAGGGGGGAGCCGGCGAAGAATCGAGACTGGAACGCGGCGAAGAACATGATGAAGGATGTCAACAAGTTCATCGACGAGCTCAAGGGCATCAAGACGATCATTGACAGCAGTCAGATGCCTGCCAAGAATGTGGAGGGAGCAAGGCCGTACCTGGATCTTGAGCACGTGAAGAATGTTGACATCATGCGCAAGAAGTCCAACGCTGCTGCTGGGCTCTGTGAGTTTCTTCTCAACATCGTCATGTACTACGACATCGTCGTCACCGTCGAGCCGAAGCGCCTGGCGCTCAAGACAGCTCAGGACGAGCTGGCGGCTGCCAACACGAAACTGGCGGAGGTGCAGGCGTACGTGAAGGACCTGGAGGAGAAGCTCGCGATCCTCGTCGCCGAGTTTGACAAGGTGGTGGCAGAGAAGAACCGAGTGGTGGCGGAGGGCGAGCGGCTGACCAACAAGCTCGGTCTCGCCCAGCGGCTCATGGCGGCGCTGGGGTCCGAGCAGGAGAGGTGGAAGGTGAACGTAGCAAAGATGAAGTCAGACTCCGTGTACCTCCCAGGAGACGTTCTGCTCGCTGCCTCGTTCGTGAGCTACGTCGGATGCTTCAACAAGACGTTCCGTGACCTTCTGATCAACCAGACCATGATACCCTTCATGACCAAGAACGCCATCCCCATGTCCGACAACGCTGACCCCCTCAAGCTCCTCGCCGACCCGGCGGTCGTGGCCGAGTGGAACTCGCAGGGGCTGCCGGCCGACCGAGTCAGCCTAGAGAACGGCGTGATTTCTTCCATCTCCGAGCGCTGGCCCCTGATGATCGACCCGCAGCTGCAGGGGATCGTGTGGGTCAAGGAGAAAGAAAGTCAGAACAACCTGCAGCTCACCAGGCTCAACAACAAGAAGCTGCTCAACGTGATGGAGCAGGCGCTGGAGCAGGGCTGGAGCGTCATGATCGAAAACCTCCAGGAGTCGCTGGACGCCGTGCTGGCTCCCATCATTGGAAGGCAGAAGATCAAGAAAGGAAGGAACTTCTTCGTCAAGGTCGGGGACAAGGAGGTAGAGTACCATCCCAAGTTCAAGCTCTACCTGCACACGAAGCTCGCCAACCCTCACTACCCTCCCGAGGTCCAGGCAGAGTGCACGCTCATCAACTTCATGGTGACGGAGGACGGACTGGAGGACCAGCTGCTCGCCAAGGTCGTGTCCAAGGAGAGGCCGGACCTGGAGGAGGAGAAGAGCTTTCTGATCCAGCAGCAGAACGAGTTCAAGATCAAGCTCAAGGAGCTTGAGGACGGGCTGCTGAAGCAGCTGGCAGAGGCGGAGGGAGACATTACTGAGAACATCGAGCTCATCGAGTCGCTAGAGGATGCCAAGAGGCTCAGCACAGACATTAACGAGAAGGTGATCATAGCGCAGGAGACCGAGGTCAAGATTAACGAGGCAAGGGAGGAGTACCGCGGGGTAGCCAACAGGGGAGCCCTCCTCTTCTTCGCGCTGGGAGAGCTGTTCAAGGTCCACTCCTTCTACCACTACTCGCTCTCGGCCTTCACCTCCGTCTTCCTCCGCGCCATCGACTGGGCGGGCAGGAGGTACGTCGGAGCTCCCATCCACGTTCCGAAGCAGCTCGAGCTCTGCCAGGGCAAGAACGCCTTCCAGAAGTTCCGCACCATGCAGCTGCTGCTGAGAGCAGGTGCCAAGGGTCTCATAGGAACGGACGATGACAAGGGACCTGGGAAGCCCTCGACGCAGAAGGAGCTGGACCTGCCTGCCCGTCTCAAGGACCTCGTGAGTTCGATCACTTACCAGGTATTCAACTTCTGCCGCCGAGGATTGTTTGACAAGCACAAGTTGCTGTTCACAACCTCCATCGCGTTCAAGGTGCTGGTCCGCGACAAGACCCTCGACTCCGACGAAGTCGGCTTCATCATCTTCGGCCGCAAGAGCCTCAACCCTCCTCCTCTCCACCCCGAGATGCAGCCATGGCTCTCCGACGCCGCATGGTCGGGAGCGCACGCGTGCCAGGAGCTCAAGTGCTTCGAGAAGCTCTGCACAGACATGGAGTCGGAGCAGACCAAGTGGCAGACGTGGGTGACGGACGAGCGGCCGGAGGAGAAGCCTCTGCCCGGGGACTACGACAAGATCACCAACTTTCAGAAGCTGATCCTCCTCCGTCAGATGCGCCCCGACCGCCTGACGGGCGCGATGCGCAAGTGGGTCGGTGAGCATCCGACGCTGGGGAAGAGATACATCGACGAGGAGGCGTTTGACATCTTTTCCATCTACAGGGAGTCAGCGCCGGAGACGGCCATGTTCTTCTACCTGTTCCCCGGTGCTGACATCGTGGCTGACCTGGACCCTCTGCTCAAGGCCAAGGGTTTCACCATCGAGAACGGCAAGTTCATCAACATCAGCATGGGGCAGGGGCAGGAGCCCGTGGCGGAGGAGGCGCTTGAGCGGTGCATGAAGGAGGGAGGATGGGTGTTCCTGCAGAACATCCACCTCATGTCCATGTGGGTCAAGACGCTCGAGCGGAAGCTCGAGAGCTCTCAGGACCCCGAGACTCACAAAGACTTCCGCTGCTTCCTGTCCTCGGAGCCTCCTCCTATGCCCTCCCAGCAGAGCATCCCCGAGGCCATCCTGCAGAACTCCATCAAGATCTCCAACGAGCCTGCCCAGTCCCTCCGCCAGCTGCTCTTCCGCGCCTGGACCAACTTCGAGCAGTCGACGCTGGACGCTTGCAAGCGCCCAAGGGACTTCCGCACCCTCCTGCTCGGCCTCTGCGTCTTCCATGCGGAAGTGAACGGCAGGAAGAAGTTCGGCAACATGGGATGGAACTGCGGCCATCTGTATGGCTTCACCCTTGGGGACTTGACCCAGTGCGCTGACGTTCTCAACAACCAGCTCAACGCTCGATCGGGGGCGAGAGCCAACGAGGAGGCGCCGCTGAGAGACTTGCGGTACATCTTCGGAGAGATTATGTACGGCGGGCATATCACAGACAAGTGGGATAGGAGGACGAACGTGACTTACCTCGATGTGATCATCGTTGCTGGAATCCAACAGCCGGAATTTGAGCTGTTCCCCGGGTTCAAGACCAAGCATGACGGAACGTGGGAGGACTACCTGGCGTACATCGAGAACGAGCTTCCGCCCGAGACACCCAATGCATATGGTGAGAGAGGAGAGGGAAGGGGGAGCAGCAGCAGCAGCAGCAGCAGCAGCAGCAGCAGCAGCAGCAGCAGCAGCAGCAGCAGCAGGGAGAGGAGGAGAGAGGTGTGGTGGGAGTTGAGGGTCAAGGGAGAGGGGAGCGCTTGTTGGAGAAGGAATGAAAGGAGTTACGAGGGATGAAACTAGATTAGATTAGCAGTACTTGTTGCCGAGTTGAAACAAGATCAGCAGTACTTGTTGCTGAGTTGCCAACAAGATATCAAACGTGTATGTTGTTGTCTTCACTGACAAGAAACTCGCAGGGATGCATCCCAACGCTGAGATCAATTTCCTCATGACGGAGCAGAAGGAGCTCTTCGAGGAGCTCCTGAACATCGGAGGAGGAGGCGGAGGAGGAGGAGGTGGTGGTGGGAAGTCCCGCGAGCAGATAGTAGATGGAATCATTACTCAACTTGCCTCGAAGTTACCTGAGAACTTCAACATGCTGGAGCTGAAGATGAAGATCGGAGACAACCTGACGCCCTACCTCGTGGTGCTGGTGCAGGAGAGCGAGAGGTTCAACGGCCTCCTGTCCGAGATCCGCCAGTCGCTGAAGGAGCTCCGGCTCGGCCTGGACGGAGCCCTCAACATCTCGGAGAAGATGGAAACGATGATGAACCTGATGGTCATCCAGAAGATCCCCCCGACATGGGAGGGCATGGCATGGCGAACGCTCAAGAGCCTTGACGTGTGGTTCGCCGACGTCAACGCCAGAGTCGCTCAGCTGCAGGCCTGGGGGGCCTCCCTTGTCATGCCGGCCTCCCTGTGGCTCTCCGGCTGCTTCAATCCCATGGCGTTCATCACTGCCGTGATGCAGACGACAGCGAGGAGGAGGGGATGGCCGCTCGATGATGTCGTCACCTTCACTGACCCCACCAAGCTCGACTGGGACGAGGCGGAGAGCCAGCCGGAGGAAGGAGCCTACGTGCACGGTGAACATCCCTGCTCACCTACCTTGCTATCTTGCACTCTTGTCCTCCCTGACATCATGACGCCCTTCTCTCCTCCTCTCCTCCTCCTCTCCCCTCCTTTCTTCTCATCCTCCTCTGTTTTCCGAGCCACAACCATCTCCCTCCCTCTACATCCCTCCCCTCTCTGCCCTCTCTTCGCTACCATCTCCCCATCCCCTCCTCTTCCTCCTCCATCTGACCTGCATCTTCCAGGGATGTACATGGAAGGAGCGCGATGGGACAGGGATGAGGGAGAAATCCGGGACTCCCACCTGCGCGACCTGACTCCGCAGATGCCTGTCATTCACCTGCTCGCCATCCCAAGGACGGAGATCAAGGTCGAGGGCTACCATGACACTCCCTGCTACTACGTCTCCCAGCGAGGAGGAGGCAACCCTCCCGGCTCCTTTGTCTTCTTTGCTGTGCTGAAGACCTCTGAGCCCACGGTGAGCAGGAGGAGGATGGGGAGAGATGGAGGGAGAGAGGGAGAAAGAGCAGCGAGAGGAAGAGGGCAAGGAGGGGCGGAGGGGCTGGAGAGCAGAGCAGAAGGATGAGGATGACATCGATCAGAATGGGAAGGGAGAGAGCCGGGGGAAGGACAGGAAGATATAGATGGACGCTAAAAAGGAGGACGAGGAGGACGAGGATGAGGACAAGGACAAGGACAAGGACGAGGACAAGGAGGAGACTGGATAGAGGAGGAGGAGGAAGAGGGGGAGGAGGAGGAGACTGGGTAGAGGAAGGGAGGGGATGGACGGTGTGCTGAGACTCGCCGCAGGTCAAGGGCCTTTACGGCGTCTACTCTTACAAGTGGGTGCTAGCTGGGGTCGGCCTCCTCATGCAGACGGAGTAGTTTGCGGGCCCTGCGGCAGGTGGAACCAGAGGTTGCCGCACCCTCCTCCTCCTCTTGGGGCCTCCCCCTCCGACTTGAGGCAGTACTCCCGAATGAATCGCTCCAGGTCGAGCACCAGGAAGAAGCTTGCTCCGTTCCTCTCGTCCCCCTCGCAGGGCTGCTCGACCCCCTGAGGTAGCCGCTCCTGCACCCACTGCCTGTCGACCTGAACGACGAAGGGGAGGGCTCCGTCCCAGAGCCTCCTGGGGCCCTCGGCGATGAAGAGGGTAAGGCACAGGAAGCCGTACGATTGCTGCATGTCTAGCAGGGATCCCAGCTGCTCCTCGAAGGTCGCCAGCTCCACGTACCGCTTCCAGTCAGCTGGAGTTGTCTCCACGATCAGGTTCCTGATCATCCTCCTACCCATCCACTCCCTCATCCCCCGCAGCACCAGCGCCTCCGCCCCCTCCACGTCGATCTTGACAAGCACCACCTCCTCATCAACGGGGAACCCGGGGAACGACCGCGCAAACTCGTCGAAGGAGACGGCCAGAACGCTCCCACCTCCTTCCCCGTCCCCCTCCTCTCCCTCCTCCCCCTCCTCCCTCCCTTCCTTCCTCTCCTCCACCACAAAGTTGCTCCCGTCGCACCTACCCATCGTCGATCTTACCCACCTTGTCCCCTCCGCCAGCCCCAGCAGCAGGGGCTCTACCAGGTCCCGCACGTCGTTAGCCCTCGTCGCCTCCTCCACCAGCTCCAGACACTCTAGCTGCACCTCGAAGGAGAACGTCCTGAACCCCAGCACACCCCCCAGCACGGAGTAGAACCCCGAGTTAGCGCCCACATCCAGCACCACCCCTCCCCTGCCCTGCCAGCTGGACAGCAGCTGGGCTGAGAGCTGGGTAATGCTCCCCTCCCACCCGTTGTTGTCGCAGGTGAAGAAGAAGAAGTCGTGACCCATGAGCTCAGCGCTCATCCCGTCGAAGAACACCAGAGGGACCTCCCCTGCTCCTGCTGCTCCTGCTGCTCCTGCTGCTGCTCCTACTCCTGCTCCTGCTGCTCCTGCTGCTGCTCCTACTCCTGCTCCTGCTGCTCCTGCTGCTCCTGCTCCTGCTCCTGCTCCTGCTCCTGCTGCTCCTGCTCCTGCTCCTGCTCCTGCTCCTGCTCCTGCTCCTGCTCCTCCAATCTGCAAAGTGCGGGTCAACATTCTCCTGCCTCGAGTCCCGAAGGTCTCCAGGTGCTCCTCCTTTCGCCGCTGCTGCCTCAGAATCTGATCCGTCAAGTTGAGAGTAACTTGGTGCTGGTGCTGGTGCTGGTGCTGGTGCTGGTGCTGGTGCTGGTGCTGGTGCTGGTGCTCACTCGCCACAAAGAACTTGGTCCTGCCAATCTGTCAGCAGCACATTCATCTGATGATACGTGTTGCAGGGAGCGAATACTTCTATCACGACTACTATCCTTCATTATCATTGTTCTACCTTACATTATCATCACTCATCGTAATCTTCAGTGAACACCTCTTGCCAAACTCCGCACGCCTCAAATCTTCACCATCCTCTTCCCTCACTTTGCCCCAGCTCGTCTCTCTCTCTTCATCGTTACCGTGCTGCTCTGCAGAGTTCAGTCCCGGCAGCATTCTTGACTGAGAGCTTCAGTGCATGCTCCCCTCCCCCTACAGTGCACGTCGTGAGCACAGGCAGGGGAACAGGAGAAGGCTCCTACGGAGGAGAGGGAGGGGAGGAGGAGACGAGCAAGTTGTGCTGCAGACCGGCAGCTGGCCATGCAGCCAGTAGCTCTTCGCTGTACAAGAGGACGAGCAGGTGCTGAAGCATTCGCGTTAACTCGCTCGCGCAAACTGCCAGAGCCCAGCTCACCCTGTCCAGACCACTTCCTCGTCCACCTCCACCACCAACATACACGGCTCCTCCTCCTGGTGGGCCGTGAGCCGTCGGAGAGAGGAGCAAGTCAGGAGGCTACCCCGAGGCAGGAGTACATGCCGACAACATCCAGCGTCAACGTCGAGTCAAACTCAACGTTCAAGTCTCCCGCTGCCTCGACAACCTGCGAGCTCTGCGGACTCCTGACAACCAGACCTGACGAGGAGGCGAGTGAGAAGAAAGACGGTCGAGACATCAGCTACGACATTTGTCGTCGACAGACAGCGAGGGCGCCGGGAGTCTCATGACGACCTCGTGGTATCCTGCTCCAAACACAAGCTCAACACAGAGAAATAGACATCATATCGTGTTCCTCACCATCCGTAGCCTCTAGGAGCACAGGTAGGCCGATCACCCAGGAAGGAAGGCGATCCAGATGAAAGAGTCTGTCCCGACAGTCTACCGCCAGCTCGACTTTCACCGCGTCGTTTTCGCTGCCGTTAGCACATCAGCAATGCGGTGAAGTGGCCATGGCGAGGAGGAAGGAAGTGGCCATGGCGAGGAGGAGGCAGCTCAAGGCATCAAGCAAGCCAAGGGAATGATAACTGATAATTTGCGCCAAGGGAAAGCGAAATGAGAGCAAGCAAGGGGATATCAGGAACGGACTAGCCCTGAGGGAATGGAAACGGTTGAGAAAAGAGGGTGAAGGAAGAAGAAGGGATTGGAGGAGGAGGTAGTGCAAAGAAGGATTGGAGGTGGTAGTGCAAGGCTGGCCATACTCGTAAGCTAAGGGAGATAGATCATGAGCAACATCAGGTGGAGGGATGGCGATGGCTATCTGTACTTGCTCCGATCTGCAATCGTCTATGGATAGACTCAGACGTAGGCTGGGCAGGGATGTAGGTCAGCCAACAGGAGGAGCAGGTGGAAGATGTAGGTCAGCCAGCAGGAGGAGCAGGTGGAAGCAGATTCACCTCTCAACAGACTCTTGGTTCGACCTGAACAGCTTGTGCATTCCATCGCATGTCAATGTTGCGTTCCCAACCCTCATGGTGCCAGTGGGTCCGGGGAATGCAAGCAGGAGGACGACCATTGCTGGGATGGCATTGACGCATTTCATGGTGGCCTTCCTCAGGAGATCTTCAACCATTCATACACCTCCTTCTCGCTTCACCATCGAATTCTACTCCTCTCTCAGGTCATGTCGCGCCATCGCTCAGAATCTCCTCTCCTGAGCTCTCCTGTTACACCTTGTCCTCTCCTACAACAGACCTACACGGCAGTCAGCACACCTCTTCCTGCCTCCTCTCTGTCACTGCGAGCCATCCTCAAGGTCATCTCCTCATGATCCATCTCCCGCCTCGTCTCCTCTTCTATCTCTCTCCTTCTCTCCCTGCATTGGGATTTTTATCGGGCGCATGGAAGCGAGGCGGGCCAACCGTTTCAAACGTTCCATCGCAACAGAGAGCGACGGTTTCAATTAACGGTAAGAGGGGCGAAGCGGCATGGTGTCGTACATGCCGACAACGTCCAGCGTCAAGAGGCGGGTGGCTGGCATGGCGGGAGCTCTTGCTAGCGCCCTAGCGCTCTTTTGTATCGCCAGCATGATGGTGAGCATGAGACACCCGGCGTCGTCGTCGGCCAGGCGAACTGAGCTGGCCATGTTCATGCGGAGGGCGAAAGGGCAAAGGCTTCCCAACAAGATGAGTCTCGACCTCGATGGCGGCGAGCTTCCTATCCCCATTGGTAAGAACGGTATGATGGTTGAAATTATATCGGTGTGCTCCGATGGCATCATGCGATGCAGTGCTCAATGAAATGATACCATGATGCTCTGATGATATCATGAATTGGTGTTCAATGTTCAACGATGAGATCCGTTGACGAAAGAAATCCGCACGGCATCAACAGGAATTGACTTGTTTGCAGAGGATGATGGTTCATCTACTGCCCCTGGATCAAACATTCACATGTTCGAGCATGGTCTCCCTCCGCTCCCTAACCCCGCGGCTCGACGCTGGACGTGGATGCAGCAGCACAAGCACGGCTACATCCCCGCACAGGGATGGCTTTCGCCCACCTTCTTCAGGCAGCGCATGCTGCAACGGCAGCTCAGAAATCGTATCAGGCCCGTTCTATCCATGGGGGACCTTCCTATTCCTATCGGTATCTCGTTTGCGCTGAAGCTTGCGATGGTCTTAATTGTTTCCAGGTTATGATGGGGATATGGATAATATTGCACCAGGTGAGGGTCCATGTGATTTGCTCTTGAGGGGATCAACTGATGTTGTACATGCAGGATCAAACATGAACATGTACGAGAACGCTATCCCTACTACAATCCCGTATGCCCCTGATCCGGGTAAGCCGGCGAAAAGGTTTTCTGCGTTTCCACCTGACTTGATCGTTTTAGCTGGATGGGGTATGGACTATTCTCCGTATGTTGTACCCAATCTTGATGATCCAAATTATTGATGTTGTACATGAGCACAAGTTAAAGAACATTATGATGTGAATAAAACGAAGGCGTGCTTCAGGTGCTAAGAATCAAACACGAAAGCTCAAGCTGATCATGGTAACTCATGTTGTATTCTCAAAGAATAAGTATCTAGACATGTGGTGTACAAATTGAATAGGCCTTAATCAACAGAGCAGCTGATAGTACAGCCTCTGAGATGAGATAGCTCAAAGCAATCAGTGTAATCTTCCTCCTGCAAACGATCCAAACAAGCGCTCATGCACAGCAGATCAAACCCTCCACTCTCCACATCCTCCACGTTAGAGGCCCCAGGTCCGCAAGGACAGTCCATGGTGTCAGTCGGTGAGCCGATGGGACCAAAAAAGTGATCGTTGGGTGTCGTAACGTGGTCCAGAGGCCCCGGTGAAGGGAACGTGTCGGCAGACACCACGTCCTGCTCTCCCATGATGAGCGCAAGCAAGCCTTCGAGGATGCTCTTGTTTGTTTCAATCTGTGACAGCTCGACACTGCTCGACGTAGTAGAGGAATTGAAGCTCAACGAGTCACTCTCTACCAGGTTCGACACATCCAGACAAGTTAAGCAAGCAAAGGGAATGTTCTGAGCCAGGCCAGAGCGTACGCAAAATAACCCCCAGAAACTGTTTCCTCTTCCCGTGCGGCACATCATGCAGCGGGAGCTGTACGATGGAGTTTGGCTGTTGAGTGCTATTTGTAGAGAATCAACCCGATCCACCTCATCCTCGTCTGAGTCTGTGAGAACACTCCAATCCAACCCGAGTATCTGGTCGTTATCATATTCGAACAATTCAAGCATCGAAGGCGAAACATATGCAAGAGAGCTTCCGGCAGACAGATCAATCACGGCAAACGAGGTATTCCGCCCCACAGCTTCATTCACCAGATCTTGGAAATGTACCCATGCATCTCTGTCTGACGAAAATCCAGGCCCGTTTGTCGGCCGAGGTGTAGGGCGAAGGTATTCGTCTTGTAGCGGGACAGCAGTACCCGCAGTGTGAAATGACATCGCAAATGTACTGGAACTCACTGGCAGGACAGCAGTAACATAAATCTGTACAGCGTTTACAGCTCCCTTATCCGTCAAGCGCAATGACAACAAGCAGGTTCAATCTTCTTTTCGGATTCAAGCTGATGAAAGCACAGGAGTACGAAGAAGGAGATCCAAACAAGTGGCTATTGTTGAGAAAACAGGTTAACAAATGTGATTCTGCCGATCTAATATCCTTCAAGCATTATTGCGCGCCATCGTCTTGTTGGTTGGTTCCCTACGCATGCAATCTTGCCAAAGTGCTGTTCTACTCGTTCGCTTTATTCCCTACTACCCTACCTACACCAGCCATCCCCTCAATAACTCCACCCCCCTTCTCCCCCGTACAACCACTAAATTGGACCCACCCCATCCGACAACCGCCCGGTACTAGAACCCACCCCTTTACGACACTCCCCCACCCTTCTAGAAAATCATATCCCCTGTCACCCACGGGGAGTACCCACCCCTTGCCTAGCATATAACTAAATCCTATTTCTACTCACCCTACCCTTTCAAAACACCACCCTCCCCTGTTTGCGTTAAAAGTTTGTGAGTATATACACCACCCACCCTCGTGACATTTCCGGCCTCTTCAACCAAGTCGTTTCGCATTCTCGCTCCTTACCGCTGAGTACCCCTATGTTTTCCTTGAATTTCCACCCCCCTGTCACAGCCGAACCCTCCGTTTTGTACATTCAAATGGTACCCACCCACGGTTGGGCTACAATCGTGGATGTACTACCCCCCCTCGGCAAGGCATCCGCTCGTACTTTCTCGGAGGGTAACTCCATCCTCAGTTGAACCACCCTACCCCATATCACCTTTGTGGTCTACCCCTCCATGCGCACGTCGAAATGATGACAGAATAACCCACCCCTCCTTTGTCCACATTGGCCGGTCAATCGGACCCCACTCAGCCAAACCCCGGAAGAGCTACCGGTACCTCAAGATCGACCCACAACTTCCTGGCGTCGTCGACGGTCGTCCTCACCCCTGTCCCCACCCCCACCCCCCTGTACTATATTTTTAGTACCCCATTCGCAGCCTTACAGCAGGTGCCTGCAAGGGCTTTACCCCCTTTAATGGCCTTTATATTGACTAGATTTACCGGGAGATTCGAAACGTTGCGGTATTCTTGAGTTAAAACTTCTTTTTGTCATATCCGCCTGTCTTCCAGATCGCTCTCGATCTCACATCACACGGACAAGGGGGACGTTCGGCGAACCTCGGCCTGAGTGCGGCCGGCCCGGCCGGGCGCCGGGAGCGGCTTCCGCAGAGGGGCAATCATCAATTTCCACCCAACAAATTTTTGGAGTAATCATTTTCTCATCAACGAAAGTTTGCAGTAATCATTTTCCGCTCAACTTTTTGAAACTATATAATCATTTTCCATTCAAAACTCCCCGTTTCGTACCGTTACACGTATCAGAGACGGTCGTAACCGTATACTTTTGCAATCATTTTCCAATCAAAATCAACTTTCAAACTTTCAACTCTCCATTTTGGAACTTTACCCCACCCCTCCACCCCCCTTTAAACCTTCCTTTCGTACCCCTCCCCAAGACCCACCCCTCAAAGCCCACAGCGACTACCCCATCATAACCAGGACTCGGTATCACAAATACCGGTACTATCCAGTACCCCGGTGTCACATGACGGGGTCGGTGGTCCACCCTACCCCATCTACCAGTCTATCAGTCAAACACACCGGTGTGTTTGAGGCATCATGTCCCCTACTTCGGCCACTGGCAGCACCGTGGCACGGTGCCTAGTGGCACGGCAGTATCGCCAAGTAGTAGTATGTCATTCATCTCTATCATACAAACATTCCGTACGCAACTGGATCTGCCCCCTGAATTGTCTTGCGAAGACGTTCTGCGTGCGGCTTACCCTTTGAAAGTATGTTGGCCGGACTACCATACCCCTCCGAACCAGCAGCTGTCACGTGTTGGTTTGTGGCCTGCTGCACAGTGGTTGGCGAACAAGTTTTTTGGCCCGTCCAGTATACCTTCCAACGAGCAGTTCACACCCACTCTCAGCCTCCGCTGCCACCCGAGTCATTTCCCATCGGAGAGTCGAGGCTCCGATACAATCTGCCTTGCCTCAGGCCCGGGGATCGCCTGCCACCATATCATTCAATGTGGAAGCGGCCATTACCTCTCCCTCTGCGGCGGCAGTCACACACGACACATCTGATTCTCACGGTTTCGACTTGGCAAGCCCGTTCATCGGTTCAGACTCCGAGTCTGAACCGGATTTGGATTTGACCGCGGATGCGCCTGTGTATGCGGATTCGGCCGCAGACTTGGATCATGGGGGATGTTCTTTCACTCGTCGTGCGGCATGTTTCAAGGACCGGCCCTTGCGTGACCACGCCGCCCTGTTGCAGTGCAGGGCCAACATTTCCTATCAAGAAAAGAATGTACGGGCTATATTGAACGAATCAATTTGGAGCATGGATGCAGAGGCATTAGGACTGTGGATCCTGGCAGACACTACTTTTATAACATTGTGTGCCAGTGTAGTAGTTGTCCATACTTTTTGAGAATCCACCTCACACAGACCGCCAATTCTTCCACTACGAATTACTGGATTGTGGATTGCTCAAAGAGTATTACCAAGCACTCCATTGATCTGTGTATATCAGTCGGAAAGGCCAGCGTCAATTTTTTGGTACAGAATGACTACTTCCGGCATCTTGTGTATTCTTCTCGTGGTGATATTGGCGGTTGCACTTTGCATTTTCGGCCTACTGTCAAGCAGCAAGTTGAGAGCTGACTTGACCATAACCCTTGGAATCGATTCGTCTATCAACAACGTCGCTCGAGCCCGCACTGTCATAGAACGAGGGCCTTGGGTAAAGTATAAGGAATCATTTCACATACTCTCGAGATGGTTGGATCGATATTGTCAACTAAATCCAGGCTCTGTATCCTCATTACTGAGAGACAGTGCAGTGGTCACTGCTCTTACTGTGACAGGGCCGTGAAACTTGCCACAGCAGTAAATGTTCGCTCTGAACAATCTCCAATAATCCGAAACTTCGGCGGATGACTCAGACCCCAGTGAACTAGCTTGATGGAGACTCTTGACAGTAGCACAGAGCCTCGGAGATCGCTGATTGGACGACAGCTACCTTCCGATGATCGCGGGAACTTCAAGGGGACGATCATGGAGCATAACTGGAGGGCCTGAGACTTCAGAAAATCTTGAACCGAATCACTGCTGCGTTTACTAGAACATACATTCACTGCGGTATCAGCCTTGGTCCGGTGTACCACAATATACCTAGTCCTAGACTACTCGTCACCTGACTCGCCACTGTATGCCAATATTTCTCCGTCCCTCAGCACACATCGGCATTTTCCTCTTCCGTCCACCAGCAGCACATCCAGGCCTTCGACGAGCTTTGTTTCTTGCAGTTTTGCGATCATGATCGCAAGCGCTTCTGCATGTGGCTGATCCCCTCCTACCACATACCCTCGGTCGATAGTGCTCGATACTTGCATAGCGTGCAACGGTTTCGAGATCTCGTGCATCAAGTTTGCGAGCTCTTTCGAAACAGATTGTTCTTTGCCTGCGAAGCCAAAGTGTCGCAGCTGCCCGCAGACTCTCCTGCTGTACTCACTCAACGTATTCTTCGGCCCCGCCAACAAATGGCCCATCACAAACGTCCTGACACCCTCCGTAAGAGACACGGTGCAGTCGTACCGTGCTATCGCGATCTCAATCAGCGCTCGATTGTTGACAATGACCCTCATTTTCGCTTCTTCGCTCAAAGCTTTCAGCTTCATTTCCTGCAACTGGTCGTTGAGCGCTTTGATGAATTTGTCCCTGTTGGATTTGAGATCTTCAATCTGTCTCTCATACCTCTCCAGCGTTTGGTTCTTGTCGGACTTGAGATCTTGGATGTCGGACTTGAGATCTTGGATCTGTTTCTCATACCTCTCCAGCGTTTGGTTCTTGTCGGACTTGAGATCTTGGATGTCGGACTTGAGATCTTGGATCTGTTTCTCATACCTCTCCAGCGTTTTGTCCCTCTCGGATTTGAGATTTTGGATCTGCTGTATATCTTGTTCGTACAGGAAAGTTAGGATCTCAATAGCCTTCGCGTTGCCTGAACTTTCTGCTTGTTCTTTGAAGAAGCTCCGGTGTCGA